AGTGTTGTTATTTTTCGGGTCAATCAGAAATACAATTTGGCTGCCATGGCCGCTATTTTGCTACTAAATTCTAATAGGCCGATCTCACTTAAAATTGGTCTAGGAATGATCAGCTCATGGTCCTGACAAAGTTAAGTTAACATTATACTATTTTTTACTCAAATTGGTACATATTTCAACAAAAAAAAAAAATACTGTAGACTCAGGTGACCGTTAAGGCCCATGGGCCTCTTGTTTACCATTGGAGCAACAGCGACCTTTTTTTATGGAAAAGATCATGGATCTTTCTTATACTCAGACACATAATTATCTTGCCCCAATCACATCTATTTGTTTTCACACACTCTGGTAAACATAAATGATCAAAGTTGGCGAGAGTATAGCTAATTTTCCCTATAGCTAATTTCCCCTAGAGTTGGCGAGAGTATAGCTGATTTCCCCTTGAGTTGGCATGATTATAGCTAATTTTCCCTAGAGTTGGTGAGCATACATTATGTATAACTAATTTTCCCTGGAGTTGGTGAGAATATAGTTAATTTTGATTTTTCCCTAGAGTTGGTGAGTATAGCAAATTTTCCCTTGTGATGATGATGGTATCGTAAATATTTCTCTGGGTTATTTAAGGTAGAGCCAACTAAACTTGGTTTGGGGGATGGTATAGCTCATTATCCCATTTGTTGGTGAGGGTATAGCTACCTTTCCTTAAGTTGGTGAGGGTATAGCTACCTTTCCTGAGTTGGTGAGAGTCTAGCCTACCTTTCCTCGTGTAGGAGAGGGTATAGCCTATCTTTCCTGGTGTGAATGAATGTTTAGCCTACCTTTCCTTGTATTAATTAGTGAGGGTATAGCTACCTTTCCTGGTGTAGGTGAGAGTCTAGCCTACCTTTCCTCGTGTTGGAGAGGGTATAGCCATTCTTTCCTGGTGTGAATGAGTGTTAAGCCTACCTTTCCTTGTATAAGTGAGGGTATAGCTACCTTTCCTGGTGTGAATGAGTGTTAAACCTACCTTTCCTTGTATAAGTGAGGGTATAGCTACCTTTCCTGGTGTAGGTGAGAGTCTAGCCTACCTTTCCTTGTATAAGTGATGGTATAGCTACCTTTCCTTGTGTAGGTGAGAGTTTAGCATACCTTTCCTTGTATAAGTGAGGGTATAGCTACCTTTCCTGGTGTAGGTGAGAGTCTAGCCTACATTTCCTTGTATAAGTGAGGGTATAGCTACCTTTCCTTGTGTAGGTGAGAGTCTAGCCTACCATTCCTTGTATAAGTGAGGGTATAGCTACCTTTCCTGGTGTGGGCGACGGTGAGGGTGTGAGAGTTGAGGTGGTGCTCTCCTTGGATGAAGTGCTGCGGCCATGAGAGTGTGATCGCTGGGGTGTGACAGATGAACTGCCACTGGTGGAACTGTTCGGTGATGTTGTGTTGGATGCTGTCCTAAAGGCTGATGGTACAGATGATTTGCTGTAAACATAAAATTGAATGTCAGTATCATTCAAAACCGGTTTTTTCTTCTTCTTCATTTGACATTCTGCTACCACTAGCCCTATGTGGGGCAACCGCCAGATGTTGGCCGTAGGTCGGGTTCTCCGGGAACTCCGGCTTTCCTCCACCACCAAAACCTGGCCTGTCCTTAAATGACCATAGCTGTTAATAGGACGTAAAACACAAACAAACCAAAAGACATCAGCCTTGAATGTATTTCTTTGTTTCATTATTTAAATATGATTAAGTAACAGTTACACTTTGTTTTGTTTTTTGTGATACAATTTTCAATGTTCATTTTATATCTTCATCACTGTTTACACCTCCGTAGACTGTTAAAATGATTTCATACTTTATTGTTGACAGAGGAATGTTCAAATGTGTTCCAGTCTGATGGTAGGTCTAGAGGATCTATCTTACCGTGGCATGAAAAGGCGTGATGGCGTCTGTGGGGGCAAGAAAGCTAAAGGTCCTTTATTGTTCGTAGGAGAGTATATACCATTCTCGTTGTAGTCACCTGCAATATCCGAAAAATACTGTTATATATAAACTTTCACATTAAGCTTGTTCATTTAAAGCTGCTAAATCCAGGAAAACTGTTTCAAAATGTAAATTATCATTTTCTAGATTTATATCATAACAAAGTACAGCATATCACTACTTTTATCTGATCTCTGAACAATAAAGAGTTGTAAATGTTTTGGCAAATATAACAGGATGATTACATTGGATTTTGAATTGACCAAAAAGAACATGTGATTCAATTGAACAAAGTTGATAGCCAAAAATCACTTTTTTTTAGACCCCAAATGACCAGTGCAAGCCATTTTTTCACTGCTTTTCCATGTCTTACCGTTGTTTTGATTGGCTGCCACAAACCTCCCTGAGCTGGAGGGACTGGCAGGACTCGAGCTCAGGTTGCTGCTGGTTTTGTTAGGCATGAACATCATTGGCGATTTCATCATTGGACGCATGGGGGAGTGTAGAGAAGAGCTGGTGTCAGGGCCTCGGGCACTCAGAGGCTTACTGCGAGGACTGGAAATGTCTAAGTCAAATGTAGGGGTCGGCAGAAAAGGTGGGATGACTGGCTTTAAAGTCTCGTTTGTCAAATTTGAGTTGGGTGGATTTATATCCTGAAAATGGAACGGAATATTAATGGAATAACTTATCAAAAGCACAGTTAACAGGTTTTTTTTCATGGCAGAGATCTTATTTTCAAACTAAAATTTAGAATGTTATAAGAACAGATCTTTCTGCAGATGTGATCAGTTGATGTTATACAGACCAGTGTGTACATGGATGCACTCTTCTTGTTCTCCATAAGAATCTGGTCATAGCTTGTGGAGATATGGGACTGGTCCATGAAATTGTTGGTTTTCCTAGGTGGCTGAAATAGTAGTTTACCCAAGTTATTGTTTAGATTTATAGTACTAGTATTACAAAATTACCAGTTACTATGGTAGAAGTTTGAAAAATATACGATAATCACTGGATGTTGAATTTGTATTACTCAACAGCTGCAGGTTATCATTGATGAACTTCTCGTATTCAAGACTTTGAGTGAGTTTTGTTTCTACAACAGGCAATAAAACAACAATACAGGGAAAGGCATTTGAATGTCTGCTGAAAGTCTGGCAAACCATACAGGGCAAAATATTCCAATATCGTTTTCATCAGAGAACTTCAAATGTATGATCTGGTTTGGTCATGTACTCCTGTGTAACAGAGATACATAGACAACTTACCACGAGTGGACTCATGGGAACGGTCAAAGTGAGGTCCTGTACCGATGTTGATGAGTGTAGGGCAGTGACAGGAGTGAGACGATTTGTTGAGTTCATGGTACGGCCAAGCTTCGTATTTTTAATTCTACTTGACAATCTACTTAACCAGGCCTGCAAAATGTCACAGCAAGATAATTACATAAGATATTTCTGCTGAATCAGACAGTGAAAAAACATATTTATGATATTACATATGTTCGACCTGTTTGATAAATAAGATGTTGGTAGTTGACCATGGGACCGGCTGAAATATGAACTATAGTATCTCGAAATGTGGAGAAACCAGTTAATTGTGACAAAATAATACTAAATGATCTGTTCCCATGAGCTGCCAGCAGGAAACAGAATGTTTTAACATATCTGCTCACCCTCTAGTAGTCTGGAGGTTAAGTTTTACGTTTGCGTGTCATTAGGCATAACTTACCTTCAGTCCACTTTTGGGTTGCTCATCCACACTGCAATTCAGATGAAAAATGTTAAGATTCAATTTAATTTATCTTTTTCTTTGAATGAATATGATACAAAAAGAAGTGTAAAATGTAATTAGTAAAATCTTCGTATTTTTCAACACATACTTGAGAAAAAAACTTCACTTTCCTAAATTCTTACAATGACACATATATAGGAAAGGCAGACCTACAGAGACGCTGTGGCAGTGACAGTCTTTGACCTGATGTTCTGTTCATTATAAGTAGACCTACCCAGAATCAGCAGCAGGGAAAGGCTCTGGCACACTGCCCTGTGAACAATCAGTGGACCTACCCTAACAGGGGTGTAAAAACATTTTTCTGGATACTAGCCAAGGGCTAATAGATACTTATATTTCACTAGCCCGACAAATATAAAATGAATCAAGCTGACAACATGATCACAGAATCTATATCTCATTCACATGTGGATATGTTTTCCTTCAAACATAATATAATTAATTTTATATTATCATTTATAAAATTTATTGAATTGATAATGCCTACCTTTTAGATATCCAGCTAGTAATAACATCCTGAGTGAAAACAATACTAATTCCAATTACTTCCATGAGTATGGTTCAATTATCAAGTTTCACATTGTTGACTACACACCTTGGGTTGTCCCATTTTGCATGTGTTTTACTAGTAAAGCGTTTACACGACGAAGACTAAGAGTTCCAATTAAAGTTTTGTGTGTGGATGCGGTTCTTGCACGTGAAAGACCGATGATATGCATGGGATTTATTGAAGTATTTTCAGTAATAAACCTTTATTTTGGATACACCATTTTCGAGAATGTGCCATAAGTAGCGACCAGCTTGGCAGTGTTTCAAAGTCTTTAGGTGAGTGTGTTTGATTTTTTATATCGGTTGCCGATCAGGGTGCGCGGTGCATCGAATCGCAAGACGGTCAGTTGTAGAATGATTACCGGTTTGACAGGTAATGCGCTTTCTATACCCAGTGAGACCCTTACTCGTTACCAAGTAAGGACAAACTAAAATGTTGGCACTTCCTTAGAAACGATGGTCGTAAAAGATGGGGAAGGTCTCAAAATCAGAAGTTTAAAAACACTCTTTTTAAAAAAAACTACAATTGAAAGCTTTTTCACTTGCACTGTCAGCTTTAAGTTGTGAATAGTACCTACTAGCACACTTAACACATGTGAAAGGCAATAGAACACCTTACATCATCAATAAGGCGTGAATGACTCCATGTGTTCTGGTAGATATTTTAGTGTAAATTACCAGGAATTTACAGGTTTAAAATGTTTATTGGTAACCCTCATGAGAATATAGAATAGAACAGAAGCATTTTTGTTAGTTATCACATCCTAAAAAAATCAATATCCCCGGGCTAGTAAGCCTCTAAATTTCACTAGCCCAAACTGAAAATCTGGTTGCCCCGGGTGTCGGGCTAGTGGATTTTTATACCCCTGCCTAAGTCTGTGGCAGTAAAGTCTTTGACAGGCCATTCTGTTTATAACTAGATGACCTACCCAGAGTCTGTGGCAGTGAAGGTCTTTGACAGGCCATTCTGCTTAGCAGATGATTTTTTCCCCTTGTCCTCCTTATTGACTGACATAGCTTTTGAGGCCAGCAGTCGTAGTAGCTCAGTATCCACATCCTCTGTTGACAATGTAGATGTATTAGTGACAGGAATCCAATAGAAAATCTTAACTAATTGGTTGACAGTGTTCAACAGATAATCAATGAACAAGGCAAAGTATTGCGAGCAATCCATAATCCCCCACCTTTAGACAAGCTTCGATATCAAAAATGGATAAATGGGCAAAAAACCTTATTTAAGTTTTGACACCCCACCATCCATACAAAATTTGGCAATTGTAAGTGAGAGTATATATATGCTTTGGACAAAACACTTAATAGTGAACAAGGGCCATAACTCTGTATATTGTATACAGGGGCACAATTTCTGAATGTAATACACTCCGTTATTCTAGAGATTACTTACATACAAAATTTGCAATGGTAAGTGAAAGAGTATATGAGATACGCCCAGGGAAATTTCATACTCTGACTAGCAGACAAAGTGCAAACCTACAGCCCCTCCAGTATGACCAGTGGAGGCTAATCATCCAGTTCTAAGTTATTGTCAACTCAATGTAGTAAGTCAGTGTTTGAAATCATATTTTTTGTTCCAAATCATACCTGACATTTACACTTCATTGTAAAAATCCTCCTGAGATTTTCAAGACAGCATGAAAAACCTTTACTGTTAAGGGTCTTTCCAAGTTTATCAATAATGACTTTATCCTTTTTTTAACTAAACTTCCTTTGATTCTTACAATCCACAAAAGACTTTGTAGTGTTACGAAATTGAGCCCCTATACTGCGATCTTGCTACATTATCAGCAATTAGGAGAAAACATTGCTTGGAAAACCGACCTATGATGAGTGCCATGTCAAATGCTGTACATCCATTCTTGGCCTGTATGGTTACATCGGCTCCTTGTTCAATCAGAAACATTGCCACAGATTTTTTCCTAAAACAAAAATAATATTTAAAATAAAATTTTAATATTTAAAGCTATCCTTTTTTCAAACCCGATTCCTTCCTATCTCTTCCTCATGATATAGCTATTCTATTTCATGATGCCAAAAATTCACTGGACAGATGGTGCCAGTACAGTGAGGTTTGACAGTATAAACATCTGTTCATTTTCTATTTATTCTGTTTCATAGTGCTTTAGATTTTATTACCCTGTTCTACAGGACAATCGAGGTTACAAGATTTTACAACTGCAAAATTCATCATATAAATCCCACTTCAAACTCCCAAGATGATTTTTTTTTCAATTGTAGGTCCTGATGAGCATAATTGAAAACACAAAATTCTTAGATAGAATCACACAGGATAGATGACAACGTTGAATAAGTACTTAAAAACATCCTTTTTTATCCTGATAATAATCAGACCGAAAGTTTTAATCCTGCGTAAAATCCAATTACAGTTGTAAAGCAAATAATCTGGCAGAATGAATTTTGCATCTTACAAACAAACTAATTATAAGTTGTAGTAAGACTTCATTCCCATGTTCCTGTACAAAAAAAATGATCATACATATAATCAGACTTCATTATTATGGTTCAGCTATCTTAATCATCTTTTTATTTGAAATCAATGGATGCTGTTTTCCATAGTAAAGAACACAACATGCAATTAAATGTAGCTGTATTACATGTGCCTTACCCATGATACGTGGCTTGCATGAGTGCAGTCCAGCCACTGATTGTGTCCTGTTTGTTTATATCACACTCGCGGGCAACAAGGAGGCGGGCAACATCGATCTGACCAGTCATGGCAGCAAACATCAGCGGCGTAGCCCCATCTTGTGGGGAGCTGGCGTCAATCTGGCTGAGGTCCTTGTCTAGTATGGCCTGGATCCTCAGGATGTCACCATGCTTAGCTGCTTCTATAATGTCAGGTTTCACCTCTTCTGGTTCTGCAAGGGAGACAAATAATATTATCAAGAGAGCATCACAGGGATACAGGCCATGCAGCATCCATTATGAAAAAATGGAGATTGAAGTGTGGGAATAAAATTTTCAGGGATCAGCTGTGTTGTTTTGGAATTTTAACACACTGTTATGCAGTTCAATGATTAGGAAGTTGATCTAAAATTCAGAATAATAATAACATCTTTATTCTTTTATAAAAAAAAGTTAACAATGATATGTAAATTCTACAATGAAAGAAAATGTAGTAACCACAGTCACTGACCAATTTTTGGCTTGTTGATCGTCTTCCTGTCGAGATAGCTGGCAACCTCCCTCCTACCCCTTCGTGTAGCAATCTCTAGGGCAGTTTTGTTATCGACATTCATGACATTTGGGTCACATCCTCGCTCAACCAGGATCTGTGCAGTCTTCATGTGGCCATTGAGAGCAGCCAACATAAGTGCTGACTGACCAGTAGATGGTGTCCGATAGTTCACATCGCTGCCACGGTCGAGGATAAACCTTAGTACTGCATCATGGCCATGCTGAGCTGCTGCCAGGAGAGGAGTAAATTCACACTCCCCACTGGCACTATTCCCTGAAATATTCAGGTCACTTCCAAAATCAACTAATAGGCGTACCACTTGCAGGTGACCCCCACGAGCAGCAAGGGTCAAGGATGATGTCCCAAGGCGGTTTTTGGCATTGATGTCAGCCTGGCGTTGCTGTAGAAGGGTGGCTGCCACATTGGCATGACCATGACGCGAGGCCTGCATGAGAGGGGCCCATCCATATACATTGCGTCTGTCCAGGGCTGCACCGTGCATCAGCAGGAGGCGGACAATGTGATCATGTCCATTGGCAGCTGCCACCTGCAATCAACGTAAAAGAATCATAGATACCATGATAAACCCCTATTCAATGATATTATTCACAGTTCAGTTTTTGGAATTTTATATCATGAAACTTCAGCTGTGTATTTAAGGAATATAGCTTTCTATTTTGGTCAGGTTATGATGTTATAACTCCAATGGCAAAGCAATCTATAGTAAATTTACTCACGTGTATCATTCCTGGTGATAGCATTCACTGGTATGTTTTTCTAATATTTTCACATAACGTCAATTGCTGTGACATAACTTTTTGTTTTGACAGTTGTATTGAGGTGGTACGATCTGCCACAAGACTACATTGCCAAACTTTCCTAAACACATTCTATTGTCACCACATGTAGCTTTATTGAAATCACCAAGGCCTAAAAGTGGGGTTTCATATGAATGGTACATTTGGGAATCGAAAGTATATATCCAAATGCCTGTACTGTACTGATATCAGAGTGGGTAGTTCCTCAACATGGTACCAAATGTGATATTAGAAGGTACAGAATGACCATTGTGTGTCGGGTATAAACATCTAACGATGTCAACACGACAGGTAAACAATGACACATCCCAGGTAATGTAATATGGTACCGGGCCTCGTCTACCGTGTAAATGTACGTGTGCGGTTTGTAATAATCACAGCCCTACTCCCGGGATCCCTGTGGATAATACGTACCTGAAGTGGGGTCGTTTCGTCGGGATCCGTACTGTCCACATCTAGCCCCTCATCCAGCAATGCTTGTACGGATGGAATATCACCATGCTCGCACGCACTCAGCAACAAGCGAACACGGTCCATGCTCGCGTTAGCTTAATATATTAAACAATAAGATATTCATTTTCAACGAAACAACTTCCTGGCGACTTCATAGTCGCTCTAACTGCCGATAACTATCCCATTGCGGCACTTTTTCTTTTCATAATGACATTTCGTGGTCTCTATGTTCGCCATATTAGTTCCGTTCGTGACGTCATATCTATCCCATGATACCCATGTAAACAAAGGCACGTGTGTATAATCTTTGCTTTGGAGAGTGGGTTGGTCGTATTAAAGGCCATTTATTTCAACAATATCCAGGCCCTTTATCCAAACAAGCTTCATGCCAAATAGCATTGCTCTAAAACAATTAATATTGTTTATTAAAAGAAATGATTGAAGATTCAATATTCATTTGACTATGGCCTAGCTATGACATTGAATTTGGGTCAAGGTCATTTATCTGAGCAAAAGTTGAATGGACACTTCACATCCCTGCTTTCATCCAGGGCGTTTCAGACAAAATACCATTAATTAAAACTGCCACATGGTTCAGTTAGGAGTTGTTTGAAGATTAAACATTGAAGATTGAATGTGGGTCAAGGTCATTTATTTTAATACTTTTTATATCTTTTTATTCCAACAAGCCCAGTCAAATATCCTCATTAGTAGTAGGTCCTAACCAATTATTGCAATATTAATGCAACTTAAAGTGCATGTATTTATATTTGGATTACATACTGTGTAACGTTATGTAATGTGGATTAAGTGTAAATAAACATTAAAATAAACAATAGTACACGTCACCGGAAGCAAATTAATTATACAGTGTATGAAAATAATATTAAGGCATTGAAACAATTTAGCTCCAACAAGCTTTCTAATGATGGAAACTACTGTGAATACTGTGAATACCCAGTGTTTTGTTTTTTTCAAAACCTGTCCTAATCATTCACTAAACATAATACAAAATCGAAAACACTGAGTGTAGGCCAGCAATGGCCAGGTTATGTGCCTGACCATATATAAATACCCCCCAAAAAGTACAAAGCAACAGCAATCATCTTGGAATATGGGTTGAATATCGAGTTTATTTTTGTGCTGGTTATCCAGCAATAGTTGTTTAAAAGTGTTTACACATTTGACCCCTATGACCTTGAACGTGAGTCAATGTCATTCAATTGAAAAAAAACAGCTGTGCTTCATTCCAGCATGAAGCCTGCCAATTATGAACACAGGCCAGCCCTTAGCTATTAAAAAATAGTGAAAGGTTTTTAACATATTTGACCCCTGTGACTAAGAATGCGAGTCAATGTCATTTCTAACTAACATGGTTTTGATATATTCAGAAGAATTCATCTAAAAAAAAAGTTGTACACATAAACCATTGATGAGGAGTTGTATTATGAAAGGGCCTTCATAGTTCTGCTAAACAGGTAAACATTTTGTTTTGGCACATCAACTTTCCTAAATATCATCAGATTTCCATGAAGCTTGGTTTGTTTCTTCAAAATAAAAAAATTATAATTAGCATACTCCATTTAGATTGATTAATTTCTGTGCTTCAAGTTCAGAAGTTCCTAATTCTCGCTTTATCTCAGTACGTAGTACTCCATTAACCCTTTCACCCCTATGTAACTTTAGTATACTATGCCATGCATTGATATGGATGAGTCCGTTATGGTCTACAGTGGTGAAAGGGTAATGGGAATAGTATTGTAACTTCACACATTCAAGGTCATGTTTGGGTTTCCTATTTAAAAAGGTACAAAGTCAAGGTCAAAAGTCAAACTGCTGTATCTTATTCTTAACTTCATCCATGTAAGAATTTTAAAATATTTGTAAATGTTCCCTTTGGGGCCCCGCTTTAAACCCCTGGGGGATGGGGCATGAATTCCAAGTTTACAATGTGATACCGTCATCCACCAAAGATGATTCTGACCAAGTAAAAATAATTTCCAACAGAAAATTATCAAAATATACCCAAAAGTGTTGTTTCCCTATATAAACTATAGTAAACTTTACCTCCTCCCCAAGGGAGAACGGATAGAACGGGGGTCCTGAAATTTACAATTTAAATAAAGCCCCTGATGATCTTTCCATCCATAGAGAGAAAATGACTGTAATACCTCTGAGTCTGGAGAAGAAGATTTTTGTATTATTGATTAATTTTCCCTTTTGGGCCCCGCCCTGGCCCCTTGGGTTGAGGTAGGAATCCCAATTTTACAATTTGGTAGCCTCATCTACCAAGGATGATTCTGACCAAGTTTGAAAAAATTCCATCCACTGGTTCTTGAGAAGAAGTTGATAATGTAAAAAGTTTACGCACGACCATGACGGACGACGACGGACGGAAAGTGATTGGAAAAGGTCACTTGAGCAAAGCTCAGGTGACCTAAAAATACAAAGTCTAATGGCTGGGACTAGCTAGTAGATTTGGTCTGAAATCTAGTGAAAAGGGCCGGTTTCCAGTAATGTTAATTCTCCATAGGAGCCTGCCCCCGTATAATTTCTTATCTAGCTCAACTACTGTTTTTTTCTTTTCCGAAGAATAATTTTACACCTTTCCGACACCCAGATTTCATAATTTCAGTGAAAATGTATTTTTATAAAGTTGTCAATTTCAGCATCAAAGACATAAGTTCGTAAATAAAAGAAGGTTATCTCGAAATTGTAATTCGCAACATAGTATAAATTTCTTTTGATAAATATTTCCAAAACATCGTGTTTATTCATAAAACATAAAAAAAAATATTCTCGGATGAAAATGCACTTGCAGAGACACAATTATGAAGAAAAATGCCATAAAATTGCAATTTTCTCCCGTTATATAGTTTTGGATGCAAATTTCCATCAGAAAATCGGATAGAGCTTTACTTGTTTCATATGTGTACCAAAAATCAGCTAATTCCATGTGGTGGAACGTTCTCATATCGCCGCCTGAATGTGGTTGTAAATTGAAAGAAAAGGGGAAATGAGTAACAACCTTGTCTGAAACCCTATTATATAGCTTATTATATACAAACTTTTATATTGAATATCAGAGCGGATATTTTCATGACAGTTTTATGATGTGTAACGACTAAATAAACAGTATCGATATAAAGATTTACACTGAGGACACCCTGATACATGAATACTGTTCTATCTCAAGTTGTCCTCTTCTGAATTTTCTGATCGTGTGGCCTTGTACATTTATCCGTATCTTCTTGTCTTTGTCTATACGTTTACGGAATCATTGACTCGACGCTAGCTATTCTTGTCTCACTTTCCTTGTTTTATTGTCCCATCTCCAAAGCGTTGTGGCTCTGTCAGGGTTGGGACCCTGACTTGTCTCACTTTCTTTGTGCCTGCCGACCACGCCACATCGAATAGATAGATTATCCATATGAAATACTTTATTTTGTTCTAAGTAATCAATCAATTCTGCGCTTCTTGGAGGTATTGAATGTGATTTATTATATTGTCTTGTTATTTTGTGTAATTAGTTGTTCGTTATTTATCACACATTTTCGCATAATTGTACCAAACTACTAAGTATTAGCTGTTTACAGCAATCATCGGTGGCTTGCTATTTTGTTACTTTATCGACGCTTCATAAACCAATCGTTATTGTTTCAAGATGGAGGGTAAATGTGTTGGAGAAGGGTGTCAAGTATACTTCAAGAAACGTAGTGGCAATAAGAACAGAAGTGCACGCAATGTAAATAGTCCACAATATAAATGGCTCCTAGATACGCTGGTGCAACAAGGATTGATGTCAGCAAAGGAACAAGCACTTATTTGCCAGAAGTGCTACATGAAGTATCTTCGGAACAAAAATCAGCCTGAACCTGAACCCGAGCAGAACCAGGAAATAGAGGAAGAAGACGACTCCCCGTCCCATATCCTGCCGTTGCTGACCCTTCATGATCTTTTGAATGGATCATCTTCACACAAAAAATGCTGTCTCTGTCTTGTTACCTTTGCAAGAAATGGAACAAAATCATCAGTCTTACCAAAACGTGCAAGACATCACCTGATCTATTCACACAAACTGTGGTGTCCCACCTCATCCCGCGTCTGCTCCATTCACCTTATTGGTAACGACTTAGATCCGTCTACAGAGGTTGTCCTTGATGGTAGAGGTTCCTTGGAATCTCAGTTACCATCAAAATCGTCCGAAATCATTAATGACCTCCTAGAGGTGTCGCACGTCCTTTCACAGAACCAGTCTGCGTTTACAATAAGCTTTTCTTCTCTTGATGACTCGGCATGCATGGCCTGGACAGGTTGGTCCAAAGATCAGTTCCTCGAAATCCACTCGCACTGTTCCCCATATCTTTCATCTGGTATATATACCAAGACTACACACGATGCTCTATTACTGTTCTGGGTAAAACTGAAAACCGACATTTCCTGGAGTCAGTGTTCTTCTCTTTTTGGAATTTCCAAGTCAAGTGTGTCCAAAACTTTCCACTCCATAGTACAGGCATTAGACACATCGATAGTCCCACAATTTCTAGGTCCGGATCACTTGACAAGAGAACAGTTGCTCGGGCACAATACTGTCTTTTCAGAAGCATTTTTTGGAGATAAAGCCACTGCCATATTAGATGGCACCTATATTTATATCCAGAAAAGCTCCGACCACAAGCTCCAGAGAATGTCCTACTGTGGCCAGAAGAAGAGAAACTATCTCAAATTCATGAGCATCGCCTTACCAGATGGCTACATTCTGGACACAGTAGGACCATTCACTGGCAGCGAAAATGATGCTACAATTACAAAAAAAGTCATGGACAAGCTAGTTACTTGGCTACAACCAGACGACAACGTTGTCGTTGACCGAGGTTTTAGAGATGTCCTACCAGTTCTCGAAGCCTCTGGCCTCAATGCTAGCATGCCGTCATACCTGAAACCCGGTCAAAGTCAACATTCTGACGTCCAAGCAAATCTTGACAGAACTATCACCAAATCGAGGTGGATTGTGGAATCCTATCATGGTCGTCTGAAACACTGGACGTTCTTCCGAACGCAATTGGTGTCTAACAGCTTTATCAATGTCATCGAGGCTTTGCTTCGAACCGTCACAGCCTGTCTGAATGGTATTAGAGGACCGATCTACCAGAGATCTCCAGAGAGAGATGCCAAAGATAGGCTAATGGCTGAACGTATGAAGGACCGTTTGACAACACCGAATGGTTTAGCTCAGAG